TTAACTTTGGTTAATCCAACCACTTCATAAAACTAGAAGATGAACTACTGGGGTAACACTTATTTGGTTAAAAGAGTCTACTTAGAAACACATTAAGCTGAAGGGAGTAGTTTAATTGGAATGAGATGAGCGAAGAAAAATCTTGCTACAGAAAGAAAGGTCAATGCTCAAATGGTTAATGACTTTAATTTTTGGCAACAGAACTACTTCAAAGTCACTATATAGCTGAGGATGACCTTGATGAATTCCAGATCCTCCTGTCTCCACCTCCCAATACTGCTAACATTACAGGCCTGTGCCTACTAGTTGTTCTGAAACTGTTAGAAGGATGGATAGAAAAATCCTAAGACTCAAATAGTTTCTGAAGAAAAAAATTTTTGACATGCCCAAGGCAGCTGTTAAGTCTGTGCTTTCAGAAACTGCAAAAATAGCAGACTCTTAAATTTATTTTGATAACACAATACTTTTCATCAAAAGCAAATATATGTATCTGATTGTCTCAGAAAGTTCTTACCTACTATCTAAGCACAAATTTTAATGCAAAAAGAGGGCCAATCCAAACTGCTGCATGACAGTCTATGCCAATAACCTGAAAATAACCTCCAAGCAATGATTTTGGGCAATCTGGGGCCTAGTGGTAATATCTAATTCTACATGGCCCACACCCCATAACATCCTAGATAAAAACACTAATTCCTAAATAATCACCATACCTTATTAGAAAACAATAGCTATGTATAAATACTGATCAACAAAACATAATGTGCTAAGACTGGAGATAATATGCAACTACAGCACTGTCCTTATCTTGGCCTAAGTATCAAGTCAAGTTTGTAAAAGTATTATCAATTAGATTAGGGTTTTTACAGGAGAAAAGGTGGGAAAAGGCTACACACAAAACAAATTCCATTAATGCTCTCAGCATCTGAATTCCTCTTCAAGCTTTCCACAAAACCAGTAGTACTTACCTTGTAAAATCACCTGTAATTTCACTTTGAACATGTCACCCTCTTTTTGAATATTAAAGCATTCTTACCTAAGCCAAAGAAAACGATTCAACATGGTTTCAAGAGACTCAAACCTAATTTGTCAAGTCAGTGATCAAAAGCTATGCCAATTATTTTCTTAAACTTGGTATCAACTGGATCTTTTAACAAATTACCTGTGAAGTTCACAATTCTTTTAGAAATAGAAGTTCTGGTTTTAAAAATCAGAATTTGGAGTTTGGAAATTAAAAACAAGGACTATGCAAAGACATCACAAGATTAAGCAGAAGAGAGAAACTGTAGAATTTGAAAGGTAATTTGGTGGGATGGTATCCAGAAGTTATTCACATCAAGAGATAAAGGGTTATGCTGAAAACACATGGCTGAGAAAATAAGGTACTACTTGAGTATTTGCTAGATCCAAACATTTTCTTTGATTGCTTTTGTGGTCATGTAACAGCCTAACAAAAACTTAAAACATCTAGCCTGTACAATCCTTGGTTTCTGGATTCTCAAGATACGTAACACAATCTCAGAGAGATTAGATTTTAAACTAAGTACAAGATCAGACTCCATGCAAGCCTCGAACCCTATACGCTGCAACAGTTATTGGGTTTTAAAGATTACCCCCAATATTACTTTAGACTGCTAAGTTTACTTAGCACTAATTCTACTTATTTAGACTTCAGAGTGACAGAACAAGAGTAGCTGACTTTTTTCCTTTCAAAGAAAAGGTGCTTTTCAACCCCTTTGTAAAAATGAGTTAATTTTTGAAAAGCACAAGAAACTAGAGATTTTAATATAAACTTTAAGATGGGAGAAAAAAAAACTTACAGATAACGAAAGATGAAAAACAATGCTAAATGCTAACACCAAATAAACTGGTGACGAAACTAAGGACAATTTATTTCAAACACTCAATTGTTTAGGAAACAACTTTAGAAATCCAAAGGGTGTGGGAATGTTCAGGTTAAGTACACTAAATAATCCAGGGGATACCAGGAAAACTGAATAGCTTTTGTCCGTTGACAACAACAGTTCAGGAAGTCAATGAAACTTTTTTTCAGGTTCCAGAGATGGTATTTATACCAGGCATAGCCAAGACTATTACCTTAAACAGATTTTTTTTTCCACACTTGTAAAAAGGAGGGCAAGCCAATCAGCTTTGGTCATGCTGCTTTGCATTTATGTGTCTATGGAAGGCAAAGGTCTTGAACTATCTTGCATTGTGTGTGTGCGTATGTGTATGCGGGTGTGACTAAGGATGACTCTAAATGATAAGCAAGCATTTTCTAAAACAAAGTTACATAGTCACCCCTAAAAATTATTTTGGTTCTGGTTTTGAGACAGGGTCTCCCTATCACAGCTGGCTTGGAACTTGCTATGTAGTAGACCAAGCTGGTCGTGATCTCAAAATAGAGATCTGCCTGCCTCTGCCTCCAGTGTGCTGAGATCAAAGGCCTGCACAACCATGCTCTGCCTTATTTTTTTTTAATTTCATGAAACTGTTACCATGCTGGAAAACCATACCTGGAGGGGGGGTAACATGAATGGGTGATACTGGGAGTAACCTAAGTGTGTTCATTTCCTGTGGTCACTCATATTTAGATCCATAAAAAATTGTCTTATTCCTGCTGGAAAAACTTAACTTTTCAGAGTTTTGTTAAAATTTACCAGGCTGGCCATGAACTCTAGAAACTCCTGCCTCAAGTTTCCTGGGTAGCTGGAATTACAGGCCCTTAACACTCCACCTGGTTTACCTTGCATTAAATTTTTAAATGGCTTCTGAACTTTGTTTTGGCTAGGATTTAGAGTCCAGTTGTTTCTGTTTTCCAATCATCCCAGGGTTCCAATTGGAAAGCAAACACACAAAACCAAACAAAAAAGGTGTAAGTTATTCCATAATTTCAAAGTTTAGAAATCCCTTTAGGAAGCCGCCCCCTCCCCCGCTTTCTTTTTGACAGGGTCTCACTGTAAACCCAGTTGTCCTTGAAATCAAGAGACGGCTTGCCTCTTGGCCAGCCTCTGCCTGAGTGCTGGGATTAAAGGCACGTGCCACCATACCCAGCTAGAAAACCCATTCTTAAAAAACTTTTCAAGAAAATATTCAGGATTATGAAACACTAGATGTGCATTCTACTAGGACTAGAAATAAAGTATTTAAAATTAGCAAGGGTGACAATTCTCAAGTGTTTAAAATAGGTCCTATTTTTCCTTCAACTGCTTCCTTCCTTAACACACCTGTACTACCTAATTCTTTGGGCACTTTTCCCCATCTTAGAAAGCCATACTTAATTTCTCATTTCTTATCAAAGACCATTTTGAACTTCCTGAATGGTACACAGTACACAAGAGACAACTAATTTCAATAGCACGTGCAACTTCTGGAGACAGGAAGATACAAATCTCAAGGTACCTGTGGGGTTAAGGGAGTGGAGAGTGAAACCTGTCTCCAGAGGAATTTTTCTTAAAGTTGGGTAAAGGTTTGCCAGTCACATGAGGCCCTCCCTACGTTCCATCTCCCGTACCAGAACAAAAATATCCCTACCAGGGATTTCTTTCCCCAAGAAAGCAAGAGCCTTATTAAAAACAAAGCCTGTGGGGCATGGTCCACGCCTTAAATCCCAGCAGTCAGGAGGCAGAGGCCCAAGCGATCTCTGTGTACAGTTCCAGGACAGCTGGGGCTACCGAAGACTGTCTCTCAGCCCCCTACCCCAAGCCAAAAAGACGTAACAAATCCATCCTCATGCACACACTGGTGACACTGGAGTTAAATTATCTTGGGCGAAAACACTAAAAAAAAAAAAAAAAAAAAAAAAAAATACTCATCTTCCCAATACTCATCTATTGTCTATATAAAAGGTCAGTCCAAACTATTCTTTGTTCCAAGTTCACCAAGGAAGTTTGTTTCTCAAAATACTCGCCGTCATAGACATTTTTAAATTTACAAAGACGTTTGAACGTATTTATCTGACAACGTAAACTTTCTCTGAAAAAATAAAAAAAAACCTCCCCATAGCGTAAAACAATGATTCCTATACTATTCGCTACATTCCCAGCGAGTTTCCAAACTCCGATTACGTGTTTACCAAGCCCTTCATCTTCATTCACTGACTTCCGAATCTCTAACTCCGGGCTGAACATGGAGGCCATATGCGCTTTGTTATGCTTTAGGACCCGTCTTTTCACTGCCATCTCATCAACCTCCACTGAATTTCACCCTCCGAAGGAAGCGTAAAAATAACTAAAAAATCGTCTCAGCACACGTAATGCTCAGAATTCAAAGGCCTCGTAAAACCAACAGCGCCATCAGTGATGCGGCCACTTTCTCCGGCAGTATCCCACGGAAAAAAATTTCCACTAAACTATCCTAATAACGCTGCTTTCTGGTCAAGACACTGACAATAACTTCTGTCTGCAAAGCCCTGGCTCCAGCACAAAACCCGCCCTGATCCCTTCCAGATAACGGGCCCCAAATTTCTCTCTGGAAGTTTCCCTCGCGAGGCACCACCAGCCCTGGAGCCGGTCCTCCAGGCGAACTGCAGTGCAACGCCCCCGCCGCCAGCTCCCGGGGAAACGTGGCCTTCCTCCACTCCCCTACCCAGCGCCTTGGAGTCCCCACGGCCGCAAGTTCGGCCTCGAGGACGCGCGGCTCCTCCGCCATTTTGTGCCTGTGGCAGCGCGCCCAGACCGCCAGCCCCAAAATGGCTGCGGCGAGGCTTCGCGGGAGCAACGGCGAAAGATGCCGCACCCCTCCCCCAACCCAAGGGGAGGCCGCGGCCATTTTTGACCCCACCCCCACCCCCCTAACGGAAAAAACCGTCGCCGCGGGTGCGAAGCCAGGCCGGCCGGCGGCCTCCCTCGCCACCGAGACGCCATCCACGCGGCCCTCCGAGGCCCTGCCCTCCCACCGCCGGGCCTCCCAGCGTCAGGTTTCCGAGCCCGCAACGCTCCCCACCTCCCGACCTAGGGACCACGAGGGACCGCGGCCGCCCCTGCGCCACCCTCGCGTACCCGCTCGCCGTAGTTCTGTTCGCCGCTGTCGCTCATGGTTCCTGCCTGACGTCGCCGCTCCGGGACCGCTACTTAAGCTGCCAACCTCTTGCGCCTTCTCTACAGAGGCCCCGCCGTAGCCTCGCACGAAGCCACGCTTTGCGAGAGCCGCCGAAGCCGAAGCGCTGCACACCACCTCTGTGAGGGCTCTAACGCTCCCGGATATGACGCGAGTAAACTGGCTCCGCCCACTCCCCAACGCGCGCTTTCCAGGCCCAGCCCCACTTCACCTTGCTTTCGCCAAGCTTCCCGCCTGCCGAGAGCGCCGTCCCAACCGGACATGACGTCAGCCACAGCCGCTGACCAGGTCCCACCCAGTGCCAGGACTCTGCTAGGCGGGAAAGTGACAGCCTGTGGGCTGCTGAGGTGGTCACTGTGGGACTCTTGATGTCACCACCCACTCCTGACTGGTTTCAGGAACTTTCCTGGCACGGTCCTGGGTGGTAGAAGGGAGAAGATGGCTTCCGTTCCCTTACTCCCTAATGCCTTTGTTCTGCCCTACTCTTTTCTGTCTCTGGTTCTTTTCCCTGATAGAAGAGGGTTCATAGCCACACAGCGGGTTCTTAGCTTGCGTTTTAGAGGTACTTGCCGGTCTGGCCTTCCTCGCGAAATCTGTATGTTTTACATTTTCCCCGCATTTCTATGTGTGCATGGATGTGTGCCTAACTCCTTTTCACCTCATTACATCGAGTAGACTGTGCTTTCTTTTTCTGAAGTTTGGTGGGGTTTTTTTTGTTGTTTGATACCTGTGGGGGTGCATACGTGCTACAGTGCACAATGGAGGTCAGAGAACAAGTATGTGGAGTGGGTTCTAGGGATCAAAGTATGGTGGCCAGGCTTACAAAGGCAAGTGCTCTACCCACAGCCTCCCTCCCACCTCCTTTGTTGTCTTTGTTTTTTGTTTGGTTGGTTTTTGTTTGTTTATGAGACAGATTAATGTAGTACAAGCTGGCCACAGTCCTGTAGTGGAGGTAACAGGAGTGTGCCACCAGGCTTAGCTTAAGTTGGACCACTTCTAAATTTTCTTGTATCTTCTTTGGGAAGTTTGGGAAGAAAGATTAAATTTACACCAGTGCCACCCCTTTTGTTTTTTGTAGGGTTTTTTTTGTTTTTGTTTTTTTGTAGTTTTTTTGTTTTGTGACGGTTTCCTTGTGCGAGCTGGGCTGTGACTCGCTTTGTGGATAAGGCTGGCCTCCATCTCACAGAGATCCACTGGTCTCTGCTTCCCGAGTGCTAGTGTTGGAATTAAAAGCACATGCCACCACACCCAGCAGTTCCCCTCTTTTAAACACCTAGACAAAAGACAATGTTGTAAGATTTTAAAACTTAAGTCAGGCTGGGCATGGTGGAGCATGCCTTTAACTCTAACACTCAGGAGGCAGAGGTAGGCAGATCTCTGTGAGATAGAGGCCAGCCTGGTCTAATGAGTTCCAGGCCAGCTGCAGTCTCAGGGAGACTGTCGTTTAAAAAGAAAAAAAAAAACGTCAGGGCATTACAGAGATGGCTCTATGGTTAAGAATGATTACTGTGTTGGGCTGGAGTGATGGCTCAGCGGTTAAGAGCATTGACCGCTCTAGCAGAGGACCCAAGTACAATTCTCAGGACCCACATGGCAGCTCTGAAACATCCTTAACTCCAGTTCCAGGGGAATCTGACATCCCCTTCTGACCTCCACATCATTGCACAACACGGGTGCACTCGTACATGCAGACAATACACATACATATAAAATAAAAATAATAAATAATTTTTTTTTTAAAAAAAGGATTACTGTGCAATCGTGAGTTGGGACCCTGGTACCCATGTAACAGTCTGGAAGACCTCAGCAGTCCTGAATCACCAGCTCTGAAAATGGTGGAGGCAGGAAGATCGCTGGGCCTTACTGGCTTCCAGTGTAGCTGCGAAGATTTGAGCTCAAGCTCAGGGAGAGACTATGCCTCAAAAGGAGTAGATGGAGGAATAGCGCTCAGCAGTTAAGAGCACTGACTGCTCTAGCAGAGGACCTGGGTTTGACTATCAGCACCCACATGGTGGTTAACAATCATCTGTAACTTCAGTGCCAGGAGAATTTGACCCCCTCTTCTAACCTCTGTGGGCATTGTACCACATTGGCAGTACACTCATAAAATAAAAAATAATAAAATGTTTTTTAAAAAGAGGAATAAGCTATCCGCAAGTTGGGTAACCTCTTCAGAGAATGGTGTGATAAGAATAGGAGGTAGGAATTGCTAGGCAGTTAGGGTAAAAAGACCCCAAAGAAGAGTAGACAGTTTCTTGGCTAAAAGTCAAAATGTCCTTGGGCCTCTTAGCAACATACTCCGTTCCAATGGCCAAAAATATCAAAAATATTTGGGAGTTTTCATCTAATCCTTAAAAGATTTTAGGATTGGGCACTGGAAAGATGGCTCAGTGGTCAAGAACTCTGGTTATTCTTGCAGAAGACCCGGGTTCAAATACCAGCACCCATATGGCAGCTAACAACTGTCCATAATTCCAGTTCCAAGGGATCTGACAGCCTCTTCTGTCCTCCACAGGCATTGCACAACATGGGTGCATTACCTGGGTTTGAATCCCAGCACCCACATGGTAGCTAACAACTGTCCATAACTCCAGTCCCAGGGGACATGACAGCCTTTTCTGTCCTCCGCAGGCATTGCACAACATGGATACATTTACCTACATGCAGGCAAGACACTCATACACATAAACATAATAAAATATTTTAAGAAAAAGATTTTAGGGTTACCTCTTCAGAGGGGGGAATGTTAGCATAGCCAAAAGCCCCATTAAAAAAATAAATAAAAGAAGAAAGAGCACACGAAGTTATCAGAAAAAAGTGATGAGATACAGGAGGAGTTGGAGGGGAGGGAGTGGGCATGGATTTGATGAAAACACCTTATATGCATGTATGAAATTCTCAATGAATTATTTTTTAAGAAAGGAATAAGAACTGGGTGTGGTGGTGCATGCTTTAAATCCCAACACTTGGGAAGCTCACTCTGAGTTCAAGGGCAGCCTGGTCTACATAGAGAGTTCCAGGCCATCTGGAGCTACAGGGAGACCCTGTCTCCAAAAGACAAAAAAAGTAAAAATTAAAATAAAGTCTACCTAGTGAGTACCAGGACAGCTGGGGCTACAGGGAGACCCTGTCTCAAAAAGCCAAAAAATAATAAATTAATTAAATAAAAAAATAAATAGGCAGAGAGTGATAGAAGAGCACCCCCTTTTGGTCTTTGTATGCTCACCAGGTGCCAGCATCCTCACACGTGCACATACACTCACATGCAAAGACAGTTACATGAAATAAATCTTTAAAAACAAAATTAGTGATTTGAGATGGAAAAACAGGGTCACCTTGTCCCATGATTATGTGGCCCATCTCATAAATATTTATAAACATGTATTTGAAATCTACAACACAGAACCCATTGTGCTGCTCCCTGCCTTGGGGTAGCTCTCTCCAATCTCTCTTTGCAGTATTCTCATTGCTTAGCTTCACTACCTAACCTGCTTCTTTGCTAAACAGACCTCTCCTCAAACTGTCTCTTGACTTAATTCATTCTCTCAAGAAAAGAAGAATCAAGAGACACCCAAGACATCTAAATCAACTCCACAGCCCCACACCTCACTTCTACAGCTAGACTCAATTCTGAATCTCTGTTCAAACCTGTCACCTGGTATGATAATGACTTTTACAATATAGGCATGTTCTGGACAGATGACTTAACCTTGCAAACAAAAACTTAATATTATTTATAATACAGACAGCCTTACTGAACTCCTCTTGTGACCTGGGCATATGCCCCTAATTCTTCATGACCCTTTCTTGCCCTTGACCCAGAATAGTTTATGAACTTTTGTACATGTTTTTCATATTTGTTGAAAGCAGGAGATTATCGCATTTGTGTTTGTTGTGTGGTACTATTCTTGGGGAGATGTGAACATATGTCTTATGATCCCAGATAGGGAACCAACAACAGACCAAAGTAAGGATAGCACCAAAATCCAACTTAGTGGACCAATGAGTTTTATTGGGGTTACTTAAAGGAGTATAGATGAGGAGTTACTTACAGGAGCAGAAATGACTCAGAGACATATGCATCACCAAAAGCCCACCCCAACATGGGTTTTGGGGTTACTTAAAGGAGTATAGATGAGGAGTTACTCAGAAATGACTCAGAGACATATGCATCACCAAAAGCCCACCCCAACATGGGTAACAGCCCACCCTAAGACGAAACCTGGAGCACACAGCACAACCTTGGGCAGCTGGGCAGCTCCAGGCAGGTCAGTTGGTCTGAGCCTCTTCCAGGCAGTGTGGCTGGCCTCTGCTTATTCCAGGTGTCTTGGCTGATCTGAGTGCCCCTCCCAGCAGTTCTTAGGGATTCCATAGGCTTGGGAAGGGTTATGCATATATCCCACTCTTAAAATAATGTACTTGGCAGCCTAGTTCCTTCCCCTGCACACACTGTGCACACACTCATCTCTGAACAATGCATCTAACAACCTCAGAACTTGCTTGAACCTCCACTAGCATGGGGTACTCTCATCTCTTAACAATAGTAGACTTATAGAAAATAGATTTATCTAATCCTATTAATGATGAAATTTAGACAATTTCTATTCATGTATTCCTAATATAGGAGAACAGTAGGAAGAGTAGGACAGATGATCTGCACTAAACTGGTATTGGGTCCATGCACATTAAAGCCAATGTGCCTTTCAAGTAAACTTTTAGGTAAAATCCCCTATTAACCATTTTATGACCATGCATAATTGGGTGTGCATATGATTAAAATCAAATATATCATAGGAAGGGACATATACAGTAGGAAAAATGACAATGTGACCTAATATATCAACCAAAATAGCTACAGAAACTGTGCCTCTTAGCAACCAAACTCCTTCTCCTGAACCCTGTAAAAGGAAGCCCCAAACAGCAACTAGGGCCTTGTGTACTTCTGTGCTCTCACTCATGTGGCCAACTGTCATTGTTGACAGGGTATCGCTCTTTTTTTTTTTTGGTCTTTTTTAGACAGGGTCTCCCTGTAGCCCCAGCTGGCCTGGAACTCTCTATGTAGACCAGGCAGGCCTTGAACTCACAGAGATCCTCCTGCCTCTGCCTCACAGTGCTGGGATTAAAGGTGACAGTGACAGTGTATTGCTCTTAATCTACACCATCTCTTCATTCCGAAGAAAGTTATCTTTCTTCTTTTG